TAAAGGTTTTCTATTCACCTATTACTTCCAATCAGTTCAAAAACATAACAGTAAAGCACAGCTCGGAAACATTCAGTGTCTAGATCAAAGTCAAACTCTTTAAATGACAAAACCCCTTTAAGCTATTTATACTTTTTTTTTGCCCGCAGCTGTGCTTAACTTATACAAATGAGCACTAATCCGATATAAAGGTTTACAGTTAAATTTTACAACAAACTTAGAAAGATGCAGAAAGATGATGCATGCACTAGATGAATAAAATTTGGCTTGACTAACACTAAGCAATCAAAAAGTAGTTCAGAAGGACAGACAAAAAACATTTTAAAACCTTTTCCATTTAATAATGAAAAAACAAAAATGTACATGATAGAACCAGATGCAGATTCAAAAATTATTAACAAAGTTAAAAACAATGATAAACTAAACTAAACATATTGTGAGGACAACAAATGAAAATACGAAAGGGAAGAAATTGGGATCACATTTGCCAAAAATTCATTAAAGAATATTTTAGTCTCCCTAATGTCAATCAATAGGTCAGAATTTAGGGTCAGAATTTTCTGCATTGGAGTCTTGGTTCAATTTCATCTCCAAGAACTTGGACATGTGTTCCAGACGTATGGAGCCTCGGTGGATCCAGTCTTTCTCCCCATTCTCCTGTGTGATGAAGGGATAATAAAATACATCAAAATCACATCTCAAAATTCTTTAGACAAAGCAAAAAGACAGACAGACAAAGATACATCCAGCGCATAAAGACAAAGGGCAGATGATGCCAGACTGATGACATTTGTATTACAGGAAGTGTAATGTGCCTGATATACAGACCATCAGGCACATTAAAAGAAAAAATAGCATTTTGTCATATATATATATATATATATATATATATATATATATAAATAAATGGTGGGCATAGATTTTTTTTTTATCTTGAAATTTATCTCACTGTAATCTTGGAATTAATCTAGATTAATATCGTTCATTTTAATTCTGCCAAAGAAATTCATGATATATGTGTGCTACCTAAATAATAAGTAAAAGTAAGTCTGGCTTGAGAAACCTGTTCAATACATTTTCGCTGAAGTAAACCCTGCGTCTTTATAGCTGCATCCATGTTTAACATGTCCTCAGATGCAGGCGTGGTTTCAGGGTCAGACATCATTAATGATCACATAGATCCCATCACTTTAGAAAAACTTCATCAACAAACAATCCTTTTCCTAATTCAACAACTTTGCTTTCGGTAGTGATCGATTGTTTCTCTGCAACACCGCGGCGCTTTCATTGATAAACTCAATCAGCTGATTGTACTCGCAGCCCACTGGCTGCTTTCTTTGTTCGTCTGTGAGGGATCGGCTGGATCCCCCAACCTTGCGCTTTTCTTCAAGTCATCAAGGACGTTTTTCTACTTGTTACGGCTACTCTGGCAACATAATAACTTCCCAAAAATAAAAAAATGCCAGGAGGAGCTTTTTGACTCACTCAAAAATAAAATTACTCGCGGAGAGCTTTGTGGTTTTAGAAGGTGTTTCCTTTTCTGATAAAAATAACAGAAATAATCTGAGTTGAATAAAACAATTGGATCAACCACAGCAGCTGCTTCTGCTTGGTAATCACAGCAGGAGGCGGCCTGACAAGAAGGAGGGTCAAATGAGATAAACAAATAACAATAGGTCTACCGTTCACATAACCTTAGATCTTTAACAGTAATAATTTAGCAACAACAACAAAAAAAATAAATCTAATTCTTAAGAGGCTCCAACAGCATGTCACGTTCAATGTCGTTATTTCACATAATGCTGAAAACGACCCACCACTAATATATATTTTTTATTGGTATTTACACACTTTAAAGGTGCATTACGCAAGCTTCAAGGCAAATACCTTTTTTCTTCTTATACATGGCTTTACAATCAAAGCCAGATAAGAATGAAGAGAGATTAAAAGCATTTATTTTTGTTGGAGTTGATCACATATCACATAAAACAAATTTTACTACAAAAAGTCAATCTCCAATCCATAAAGTACTTTACCTACGTCTGGCTAATTTACTTGCAATAGTACAAAATCCTTTCCAACTCCTCAAATGTTTGGATCAGAACCCATAATTCAAAGACATTAAATCTAAAAAATGTATGTGTACTTGTTGGGTTTAAATCCAGAGAAATTTGAGTTTAAGAGTTTAAAGAGGACGAAATGATCAAACACAGACAGGGATTTGCAACATCAGCCTCTGCACAGGGGAGAAGAACTGCTGGCTCACAACCAGCAACTTTTCTCACTCTTCCCTTCATAGCAGAGCCTTTTATTAACAGTTTATAACATAATAGGGCGGGTCTTAAACAGAAGACCCTGTAATGATTATCTGGCAGGATGCAGGTCATAAGACAGTGTGACTCTGCTTCATGACCTACTGGATGCAGGTCATAAAAGTTTATGACCCTGTAAATGCCTTCTGGCTGAAGGCAAGTCTAGAATGACCCTCCTGATTGAATCACAGGACAGAATGTAGCATCTTATTTCTTCACTGTTTCATATGCACACACATTAATTTTATAATTGTTATTCAATAACCCTAACAGTACTAACCTCAAACACAACCTTCATCAAGCTGCAATCAACCGTCTCAACCTGACATTTCCGATGGACTCCATTTAGTTCAATGTTGAGGCTTTGCCCTTCTTTGTAGTGGGTAAGGTGTGGATAGGGCCAAGTCTTCAGATATTGTTCCATGAAGCATTTATGTGGGCCATCCGGAAGGTCGCATAGAGTATCATCCACTGTAAAAGAAATAAAAATAAAATAAAATAATGCATGCATGCATACAATTAGATGGTTTATTGCTTTAAGGTTGCAGATCAACTGTTTTTTTTATTGTCATCAAATAATGTGGCTTGTTTTCCTTCCTTTCCATCCCATACATATATTCAGCATAGTTTTCACAATATTTAATATTTGATGCAATTGATCTGACTGATCTGTATTTTTTTCTTTAACTGTGTACTGTATAATATGGTTCCTTTATTAAAAAATATTACAAAAAAGAGGAGACAGTCAAACTTACTTTGTCTACACACCAGGTAAAGTGAAGGTAGGCTGACATACAGTGGTGTGTGATCATCCAAAAAAACCAAAAACCTGAAAAACATCAAGTTATTTAGGAAAAAAAAGTCATCAGTCCAAAAAACAAATAATGAGGGTTCATAAATGCATATAAACGTATTTGATCCAAGACCTTAAGCGATTCTTCCTGCTGGGAAGCTCAGCCAGAAGTCCAGGCAAGAAGCACTGATTGTCTTCTGGAGACTGGATTAAAACACGGGCTCCGACGTACAGCCGCTCCAGCTTTGGGTTGGTGTCGAATGCGATGTGGTGTCCTGATACCAAACTCTTGCCCTTTTCCTCAAAGATCACTTTATATTTAACCCTTCCATCATCTGCAAAGACCAAAAACAGAACAAACGAAAAAAAGAATCGTAAACAGCACATAAAAACATTGGCATGAGGTGTGGTAAAAATAAAAGAAGAGAAGTTTGTTAAAGATCAGAAGATAAGACTACTTTACAGGAGATCTAAACTAGGGGAAGCTAATACTGCACCACAGGAGAGAGCAAATTCATGGACAGAAAAATGTTTTTTTTATTTTCAATACAAATAGCTTTTAGTCGTTTTGTTTCTGGGTTTTTTCTTTCCAATAATTTAGGCATTATAAAAAACAGCCGGCGCAGCTAAAAAGCAAAGCTCCGCTTCATGAGTCTGTGCAGCAACTAGAACAGATCGAAAATGTTTATAGGAATATTATACATAAAATGGGAACTACATTTAAAGAAAAAGGAAAATGCAACAATAAAGGCTGCGGGACAGTTAAATGGGTGGTCCTCAGGGAGAGATCAGTGGAGTTTGTTGTTTGAAGTTTATTTTTTTAAATATTTTTAAGGAGTGGGGAGTGATAAGATGTGCTTACCTCCACTCTGTCCCTTATTTGCTTTTTAGTGAGGCTCAAAGACGATCATTATTTTACTATACCTGTTTTCGGTCTTACTGAAGTTTGTTGATTAAAAAAAGAAAAAAATAATTGGGGTTTAGTAACAAATAAGCTGTGCTCTCCTTTGCTGTACCTCATATTTGCAAGGCTCAAAGAGCATCACTACTTTATCTGCTTTCTTTCCTCCTGAACTCCTATCACTGATAAAGTATTGTTTTTTTAAATATTTTATCAATTGTTTATGCACGGGTCTGACCCTCCCACTAAATATGCTCTGTGAGACTCCAAACCAGACTGTTTTCTTTTGTAATTGACAGATGTTATTTTACATTTCCCCCGAAGCGGAAGTGTTTTACTTTGAAACCAGGGCTGCAACAACGAATCGATAAAATCGATAAAAATCGACTTTTAAAAGCGTTGGCAACGAATTTCATCATCGATTAGTTGTGTCGCGCGATTAATGCGTCATCCGCCGCCGCCGTCATCACATCCACTTGACTGAAGCGGGGGAAGAAGAAAAAATACGGCAGAGCGAGCCATCACTGCAGGCGCAGTGTTGCCAACTCAGCGACTTTTCAGACCCCTCCAGTGACTATTTTTCAAAAAAGCGACTAGCGACAAATCTGGCGACTTTTTACGGTGCCACTGGCGGCTTTTGGAGACTCTTACGTGAAAGCATGTATCATTCCTACTCTGCCGTGGGGCGCCTCCCCCCGCTCCTGCAGGAGTCCCTCTCAGCGCTGCAGTCAGAGCAGCAGGACTTTTACCCTCAGCGTACAGACTGCATAAGCGCGCATGCGCCGGGATTGACGGCGCAAATTGATCACAATAATTAAAATAGCCTGCGCTTTGTAAAGCGAAAAAAGTCGTAACATGCAACTTTTGTCAAAACAAATTAACATGGCCCGGAACCACCACTGTTATGGCAGTGAAGAGAGCTGATCAGCAGGGTGAGCGGCCATGTTTGTTTGGTTTTAAAGGGGAAACGTAACGTTAGATTCTCAGGTAGCTCATCTGATGCTTTCCTTACATTGTTAGTAGGTTACAGACAGTGATAAGGTTGGCTACTTATTTTACTTTTAATTTCATTTGAATTAGCTTAAGCAGCGTTTATATTTACTTTATAAATAAATTAACTTGCAAATTATGAGGGCAAGGCTTTTAAAGTTTAAATCTTCTGGCAAAGATAAAGTAAAGATCCTGTAATTTATGGAAGTAAAGCAGAATAAAATCCAGCAAGATCAGTAATATGTCAATTAATTATATGCCACATTCCCATGTAAATATCTGTCTTTGGAGGATGTGTTTTTTAGCACCCCTAGTTCTCTCATTTTTATTCCAAATACAATTTATAATTTGAATCACAGGGCTATTTTTATCTCTATGGTTCAGTATTTTCTCAAGTAGCAACTTTAACTGCTATACTTTTCTGTCTTAAAAGGCAGAACTCTATTAGTCTAAAAAAAAAACCTCATTTGTTGAAATGGGGGGGCCTGTCTTTTTTTGCGCTTTATGAAACAAAGTAGCCTATATTTTGTGGATGTACAGCTTCATTTCTCATGCAAGTTTGCGTAGTTTTAACACAAACATTTATTTTTCATATTGCACCAGTACAGTTAATGAGCAACCTGTACTTGTGTGCTTGTTTGTTCTGTCAAAAATGTTTATTTTGGAATAAAGAGTATAAAATATAGAAAATATTTTTTGTCATATTCATCGATTAATCAAAAAAATAATCGGCCGATTCATCGATTTTTAAAATAATCGTTAGTTGCAGCCCTATTTGAAACTGTATCTCTCTTCCTGTCAGACCCATGAAATTGCTGCCGAGTTGCTGCTTGTGAGACTAAAATAGACCTGGGGTCTATCTCAGTCACAGAAAATCTTGTCCATTGTGTTCATTCCCATTTACTCTCAATGAGCGCTAAACGTCACAACCACGGATATCAGACAGATTCAATGAGTTCAGGGCTTAATGCTCTAACAGACAGCCACTCTGGTATTTCTGTATTGACTATAAATGTCTGCCTACACTCTGATACCACCAGCAGCGATAGGTCTTCCAGTGACAGCACTCAGCAATGCATAGCTCTTACTTCTTGACCTTTCCAACATTGTTGGCGGCCATAATTTCTGCCCAACTTGCATCAACTTTGTTTGGAGAATATCACAGAGGCCCACTGATCTCTAGTTCAGCATAAATTGTCCTAGGCCCTGGCAGGATTATGTTTAATCTGGTTGAATTACGGTAAAAAAAACTGAAGTGAAAACATCATGTAGTTCTGCAACATATTGATACTATAATTACATTATGAGAGAATCGATTTAGAACCAGAAATCTATTTTTAACACAGGTTTAATGAAATAAATAAGAAAAAAATATTAGCTGAGCCATCCTATTTCTAAAGTAAAATATAGATCTTGAGATTCGGTTTCACCCCAGTGGATACAGAGAGGAGCAAAGACTGGTTATTAAAAAAACTATGGTTCGAGTTAAACTGCTCCTCTAACACAAGTTTTTCTATTCAACGAAAAAAGGCATAAAATTTCTCTGTTGATTACCTCTGTTGATTATCTCTAATATCTTGCCTCTTTGCCACCTCATGGCTCTCCTTCTGGCCAGGACTGTCATGTTTACAGTGATCTCCAATTCTGGTAAATCAGGCCGCACTTTTCTTGTTTCACTGGAGTGGCTAGCAAAAGCAGACGACACTATGATGGGGGATGGTTCAAGGGCTGTGGAAAAAACATACAAAAAAATGTGGAGATGAGAGACTTTAGCAATTCCAATGTTGTTTGTGTAATGGTTAATAGACCTGTTCTTACATTTGTTGGCACTGTCAGTGCTGCTGCTGTTGCTGGCGCTGCTACTGCTGTTGATGTTACTGATCTTGCTGGAAGTGTTACTGATGTTGCCGATGCCGTTACCACTGTTGCCAGCAACGCTGCAGTTTTTGATGCTCGTTAATGGTGGAGCCACTGTCACTTTGTTGAATTGCTTACATTTTGAATTTTTCTTTTTAGTTTTGGAAACTCCAAAATCCGAATCTCCGGAATCCTCTCCTGGTTCCCACAGCATGTCAGAGTCAGAGCTGTTGGGGGACTCTATTTCGCTGTAGAACTGCTGAGCTGTTGGTGGTTGAATGGTTTGAACTGCAAAATCAGGGAGTCGTTCCAAAACAACCACTGGTTTTTTAAGTAGGTTTTCATCATTCAGACCTTCAAGGCATGACCTTATTTTGCGTCGGATTTCAAGTGCAGATGAGGAAGGCTCGTATTTTACAGTGTGCATGTATTCTGCGAAAGAATAAAAACAGTTCTGAGGTGTAAGCACAGATAACATACAAGAAATTATAACATCCATTTGATTTGCCTCAATTTAAATTGATTTACGATAATCTATAGAGCCCCTACAGCAGAGGGCTTTAAAATGGGTTAGTTACTTTCAAACATCAACCCCAGTGGGGTCTTAAGTGCTGGCCTGTGAGACTGTAATTGTACTGCATGGCTTTCTGATTTCAAACTAATCAAAATTCCCCACCTAGTATGACAAAATACATATCTCTCAACATGTAGGTTAATCAGATAGGTTTCACATGGATAAAGTTTCTGTACTGCAGCAAGCTAAACTCTGGGCCATTGTGCCCCTATGAGAAAAATCAAATTGCAAGCAGTCACTGATTATGACGATTCTTTTGATGATGCATTTAATCATATTCTTTTTAAGACTCACAGGCCAAAACAAGTGTAAGAACCAAAATAACACAAACAGGGTCCGATGAGGTACAAGATAAAGCATTCAGAAAATGATGCACGATTATATACAAACTACATTTTGGCTTTTTCTTTAGTCTCTTTATAATTCATTAAAATTCTTAAAGGAGAAGTTCGGTTTTTTACACTTTAAGCCCATTTTCTGTAGTGTCCAGGATGAAATCGAATGATCGACACCAAAAGTTTGACAATTGCTCCTGTCTCTGCTTTTTGGCTCATTTAGAATCAACCCCTGGCTGCTTTAGAATGGCTAGCATAGAGCATGTCCGATAATGTCCTTAAAACAACCTTAAACGTTCTTTTTTTAAAATATGCTACTCACCGTGTCGTCAGCGCTGTTCAATGACGTTCCAAAAAAAGTTTCGTAAAGAAAAAACGTTCCTGTAGTGTTTTATTTAGCATTTTGTAAATCCCATTGAGTTCTGTAGGAATAGTCAATATTCCGCTGCCACCGGAAACGGAAATGGGGCCTGTTTACACAGTTGTAGTCTTTTCGCTTCACTCTGTGTACTCCGACGTCGAGGTGCTAACGTCTCTGTTAAACACTTTAAAAAACTCTGAAAATGGAATACGAAAGGTGGATTCTTGATTCTCGACGTCGGAGTACACAGAGTGAAGCGAAAAGACTACAACTGTGTAAACAGGCCCCATTTCCGTTTCCGGTGGCAGCGGAATATTGACTATTCCTACAGAACTCAATGGGATTTACAAAATGCTAAATAAAACACTACAGGAACGTTTTTTCTTCACGAAACTTTTTTTGGAACGTCATTGAACAGCGCTGACGACCCGGTGAGTAGCATATTTTAAAAAAAGAACGTTTAAGGTTGTTTTCAGGACATTATCGGACATGCTCTATGCTAGCCATTCTAAAGCAGCCAGGGGGTGATTCTAAATGAGCCAAAAAGCAGAGACAGGAGCAATTGTCAAACTTTTGGTGTCGATCATTCGATTTCATCCTGGACACTACAGAAAATGGGCTTAAAGTGTAAAAAACCGAACTTCTCCTTTAAGTACTTTAAACTGACAAGCATTGGTAGCTACATCGGTAAGAAACTGTTTTCTTTAGGAAAGAGATGTGGTAAGTGATTAAATGGGAATAAAGAACATCATGTTAGGTTAAATGAATGTGGGATCACTTCTGGAGGTTCGGGAGGAATATGACCGGCATAAAAAAAACGGTTACTTTACCAAACAAAAGGGGCTTTAATTGGCAAAGAGGAAATCACATATTATTAAATAATCATATAATTAAAAAATGTCACTAACTTGTGGTATTTTCTGGCTCCCTGAAGTCTTGAAGCTCCAGTGTCATCACCTCATGTCCATCAATCTCCATACCTACTGAAAGAAACAAAACATAAAAAATTTCAAAAAAGCATGTCAGTCTTATCGATTTAAAAATCTCCATTAAAAGATAAAAGACAGAACTCTAATATTGGGAGGAGAAACATATCCTAAGGGTACAAATTAAGTAGTTAAATGAATAAAAGGTTCATTTTTGTAGTGGTTTCCATATGGTATTGCCACAAAACTGCATCGAGGATCACCAAACAAAATACACAGCAATGTGCATTTAATAAGAAAATAGAACACAAGAAAATATGAAAAACCTAAAGATTTTTTTTTTAATAAATTATCCATAGAGTACAAACTCCATGGGAAGATATGGACTGCATTCCAGAGTGTTTGGAAAGCTGGTCCTTCCTGAGGTCTGAAGCTAATATAGGTGAACCCCCACTCACGATCAGTCAATTTTACAATCTATTGTTGACAAGTGTTTGAAGAAAATCTAACATATACCCATGTATCAGATAAAGTTATAAAATAAGATCCCCTCTTTGTTTGATTGCAACGTGTCAAAGAAAACACTTCGAAGGAGAAGCTGAAGCTGTAATAGGGCGAAGGCATGTAAGGTAAATCGATAAATAGGTGTCAGCACTGAGCCCTGGCCCACACCACGAACTTTGGGCTTATTTCTATTTTCGAACAATTACTACATTTGCTTAGGATTGTGGGGGAGGCGCTCTAATTTGTTAGGTTTCGCTCGTAACGTCGTGACTAAAACTTGAGATGCTAATGCTTACAAGCTTTTTATTCCAAGCAAAATGGTCAACTTACCTGTTTTAGGGTTCCGAATACGCCCATATATTGAATAACACACAAATAAAAATGTACTGTTACTTCAATGCGGGAAAACTAACGAATAACTGCAATAAAAACAACAGTAGAGAGAATTGCTAGCAGACAATTATTGTTAGCCCACAAGCTAGCAAGCGGCAATGCACATCTTCTTCTTCTATGTCGAATGGCGGATTGCAAACAGCTTATAGGTGCATACCGCCACCTACTGTACATGTGTGTATAGCTCTATAGTTCAACCTACTATATTCTATTTTTTATTTGTGTGTTATTTAAAAATAAAAACAATACTTTATAAATAACCAAATTTTCTTCCCTATCTCCATCTGTCCCTAAAATTCCTTTAATACTCCAATCTGTCCCTTTTTCCATAATTACTTTCCTCATCCTATTTCTTTCAGGTGCATATTTAATTCAATCCATCAAAACATGATCGACATTGTCTTTTCTTTCACAACCCTCACACAAATCATTATTTCTCTTCCCTAGTACAAACAAAAACTCATTCAAGTAGGTATGACCAGTTCTTAATATAGTATAAATTACCTCTTCCCTTCTGTTTATTTCTCCATAATTTTTAACAATTACAGATTTTTTAACCCTATATAATCTTCTCCCTTTCTTATCTTCATGCCATATCTTTTGCCAAAATTCTGTTTCTTTTTAATGATTGATTTACCTTCCCCTTTCCCAAACGGAATCTGATCTATATTCTGCTTTCCTAAAGCTTTTTTAGCTAACTTGTCTGCTATTTAATTTCCTCTCATCCCTTTGTGTGCTGGAACCCAACATAAATGTACATCTATTCCATATCTAAATAATCTAAACAAAATGACGAATTTCTATAACAAGGTCTTTCCTACTAGTTCCTCCTGAATGAATGCTTTCTTGCAGCTTTAGAATATGTGCAAATCACCACCCTGTCCGGTCTAACCTCCTCCACCCACTGTAAACTAATAATAATTGCTACCATTTCTGCTGTGTATATAGATAAAAGGTCTGTTAATCTTTTACATATACATACATTAAACTATGGAATGAATATCACTATTTCCACATTTCCCTTTGTATTTTTGAACCATCT